GCTGGCTTGGCTCGGGTGTGGCCAGTGGAAAAGCACCACCCGTGCCGTCCCAGAGTAGCCCCCCATGAGCTGCAAGTCTCGTCACTGTACGGGTTACGAGGGGGCGCTCAGAGCCCCGGGGATCTGATCCAAAAGTCGAACACAACCACCACAACAACCACAACCACCACAACCATCACCACCACAACCATCACCACCACCACTACAACAACCACCACCACAACCACCACAACCATCACCACAACCCAACCACCACAACAACAACCACCACCACCACAACCACCACAACCACCACCAAGACCACCATAACCACCACGACCATCACCACCACTACAACCACCACAACCATGACCACCACAACCATCACCACCACTACAACAACCACGACCACCACCACAACTCCACCACCACCAAGACCACCACAACCATCACCACCACTACAACCACCACCACAACCATCACCACCACTACAACCACCACCACAACCATCACCACCACCACTACAACAACCACCACCACCACTACAACCACCACGACCACCACTACCACCACCAATCTAAACGGGAACTTCATCATCATCGTTGTTGTTGTTGTTGTGTTGTTGTTGTCGTCTTTGGTACCGGATGGAGAAATCCGACAATCTGTAAAGCTCTTCTCTATTCCGTCGCAGAATGGTTCAGTAAAGTGGGTAGGAGTGGAAAGTGATGGTGAGAGAGAGAGAGAGAGACGCAGACTCCAAATATACAGCAGGGGTAGGGTTCGAACCCAGGACCTCCTGCGTACCAGGCGAGGTAGTCAACATCTCCCAGGGATAGAACCCACGACCTCCTGTAGACCAGGCGAGGTAGTCAACATCTCCCAGGGATAGAACCCACGACCTCTTGTATACCAGGCGAGGTAGTCAACATCTCCCAGGGATAGAACCCACGACCTCCTGTAGACCAGGCGAGGTAGTCAACATCTCCCAGGGATAGAACCCACGACCTCCTGTAGACCAGGCGAGGTAGTCAACATCTCCCAGCGATAGAACCCACGACCACCTGTAGACCAGGCGAGGTAGTCAACATCTCCCAGGGATAGAACCCACGACCTCCTGTATACCAGGCGAGGTACTCAACATCTCCCAGGGATATAACCCACGACCTCCTGTAGACCAGGCGAGGTAGTCAACATCTCCCAGGGATAGAACCCACGACCTCCTGTAGACCAGGCGAGGTAGTCAACATCTCCCAGGGATAGAACCCACGACCTCCTGCGGACCAGGCGAGGTAGTCAACATCTCCCAGGAATAGAACCCACGACCACCTGTAGCCCAGGCGAGGTAGTCAACATCTCCCAGGGATAGTACCCACGACCTCCTGTAGACCAGGTGAGGTAGTCAACATCTCCCAGGGATAGAACCCACGACCTCCTGTAGACCAGGCGAGGTAGTCAACATCTCCCAGGGATAGAACCCACGACCTCCTGTACACCAGGCGAGGTAGTCAACATCTCCCAGGGATAGAACCCACGACCTCCAGTAGACCAGGCGAGGTAGTCAGCATCTCCCTGGGGTGGAACCCACGACCTGTAGACCAGGCGAGGTTGTCAACATCTCCCAGGGATATAACCCACGACCTCCAGTATACCAGGCGAGGTAGTCAACATCACCCAGGGATCGAACCCACGACCTCCTGTAGACCGGGCGAGGTAGTCAACATCTCCCAGGGGTAGAACCCACGACCTCCTGTATACCAGGCGAGGTAGTCAACATCTCCCAGGGATAGAACCCACGACCTCCTGTATACCAGGCGAGGTAGTCAACATCTCCCTGGGGTAGAACCCACGACCTGTATACCAGGCGATGTTGTCAACATCTCATAGCCACAATGATGATGGTGAGAGACGCAGGACACGGGAAGGAGACACGTGGGAGACACGAAGGAGACACGTGGAGGAGGGAGACACGTGGTGGGAGACACGGGAAGGAGGGAGACACGGGAAGGAGACACGAGGAGGGAGACACGTGGAGGCGGGAGACACGTGGGAGACACGAAGGAGACGCATGGTGGAGGGAGACACGTGGTGGGAGACACGGGGAGGGGGGAGACACGGGAAGGAGGGAGACACGGGAAGGACACACGAGGAGGGAGACACGTGGGAGACACGTGGAGGAGGGAGACACGAGGAGGGAGACACGTGGGAGACACGTGGAGGAGGGAGACACGTGGTGGGAGACACGTGGAGGAGGGAGACACGTGGGAGACACGAAGGAGACACGTGGTGGAGGGAGACACGGGGATGAGGGAGACACGTGGAGGAGGGAGACACGGGGTGGAAGGAGACACGTGGAGGAGGGAGACACGGGGATGAGGGAGACACGAGGAGGGAGACACGTGGAGGAGGGAGACACGTGGTGGGAAACACGGGAAGGAGGGAGACACGGGAAGGAGACACGAGGAGGGAGACACGTGGGAGACACGTGGAGGAGGGAGACACGTGGTGGGAGACACGGGGTGGAGGGAGACACGAGGGAGGGAGACACGAAGGAGACACGTGGAAGAGGGAGACACGTGGTGGGAGACACGGGGAGGAGGGAGACACGTGGTGGGAGACAAGAAAGGAGACACGTGGTGGAGGGAGACACGTGGTGGGAGACACGAAGGAGACACGTGGAGGAGGGAGACACGGGGTGGAGGGAGACACGTGGAGGAGGGAGACACGGGGTGGAAGGAGACACGTGGAGGAGGGAGACACGGGGATGAGGGAGACACGAGGAGGGAGACACGTGGGAGACACGTGGTGGAGGGAGACACGTGGTGGGAGACACGTGGAGGAGGGAGACACGTGGGAGACACGAAGGAGACACGTGGTGGAGGGAGACACGGGGATGAGGGAGACAGGTGGAGGAGGGAGACACGTGGGAGACACGTGGAGGAGGGAGACACGGGGATGAGGGAGACACGTGGGAGACACGTGGAGGAGGGAGACACGAGGGAAACACGAGGGAGACACGTGGAGGAGGGAGACACGTGGAGGAGGGAGACACGTGGAGGGAGACACGAAGGAGACACGTGGTGGAGGGAGACACGGGGATGAAGGAGACACGAGGGAGACACGTGGGAGACACGTGGAGGAGGGAGACACGGGGATGAGGGAGACACGGGGTGGATGGAGACACGGGGTGGAGGGAGACAGGTGGAGGAGGGAGACAGGTGGAGGAGGGAGACACGTGGGAGACACGAGGGAGTGAGACACGAAGGAGACACGTGGAGGAGGGAGACACGAGGAGGGAGACACGAAGGAGACACGTGGTGGAGGGAGACGGGGATGAGGGAGAAAGTGGTGGAGGGAGACACGAGGAGGGAGACACGAAGGAGACACGTGGAGGTGGGAGACACGTGGTGGGAGACACGTGGTGGGAGACACGTGGGAGACACGAGGGAGACACCTGGAGGTGGGAGACACGTGGAGGTGGGAGACACGTGGTGGTGGGAGACACGTGGGAGACACGAAAGAGACACGTGGGAGACACGTGGTGAAGGGAGACACGTGGTGAAGGGACACACGTGGTGGAGGGAGACACGTGGTGGAGGGAGACAGGTGGTGGAGGGAGACACGAGGAGGGAGGCACGTGGGAGACACGTGGTGGAGGGAGACACGAGGAGGGAGACACGTGGTGGAGGGAGACACGGGGATGAGGGAGACACGTGGAGGAGGGAGACACGTGGGAGACACGAAGGAGACACGTGGAGGAGGGAGACACGAGGAGGGAGACACGTGGTGGTGGAAGACACGAAGGAGACACGTGGAGGGAGACACGTGGTGGAGGGAGACACGTGGTGGGAGACACGTGGTGGTGGGAGACACGAGGAGGGAGACACGGGAAGGAGGGAGACACGGGAAGGAGACACGTGGGAGACACGAAGGAGACACGTGGAGGAGGGAGACACGTGGAGGAGGGAGACACGTGGTGGGAGACACGGGAAGGAGGGAGACACGGGAAGGAGACACGAGGAGGGAGACACGTGGGAGGCACGTGGGAGACACGAAGGAGACACGTGGAGGAGGGAGACACGTGGAGGAGGGAGACACGTGGTGGGAGACACGGGAAGGAGGGAGACACGGGAAGGAGACACGAGGAGAGAGACACGTGGGAGACACGTGGAGGAGGGAGACACGTGGTGGGAGACACGGGGTGGAGGGAGACACGAGGGAGGGAGACACGAAGGAGACACGTGGAGGAGGGAGACACGGGGTGGAAGGAGACACGTGGAGGAGGGAGACACGTGGTGGGAGACACGGGGAGGAGGGAGACACGTGGTGGGAGACACGAAGGAGACACGTGGAGGAGGGAGACACGGGGTGGAAGGAGACACGTGGTGGGAGACACGTGGTGGAGGGAGACACGTGGTGGGAGATACGAAGGAGACACGTGGAGGAGGGAGACACGGGGTGGAGGGAGACACGTGGAGGAGGGAGACACGGGGTGGAAGGAGACACGTGGAGGAGGGAGACACGGTGATGAGGGAGACATGAGGAGGGAGACACGTGGGAGACACGTGGTGGAGGGAGACACGAGGAGGGAGACACGTGGGAGACACGTGGATGAGGGAGACACGAGGAGGGAGGCACGTGGGAGACACGTGGTGGAGGGAGACACGAGGAGGGAGACACGTGGGAGACACGTGGAGGAGGGAGACACGGGGATGAGGGAGACACGAGGAGGGAGGCACGTGGGAGACACGTGGTGGAGGGAGACACGAGGAGGGAGACACGTGGGAGACACGAAGGAGACACGTGGAGGAGGGAGACACGTGGTGGAGGGAGACACGAGGAGGGAGACACGTGGGAGACACGTGGTGGAGGGAGACACGGGGATGAGGGAGACACGTGGAGGAGGGAGACACGTGGGAGACACGAAGGAGACACGTGGAGGAGGGAGACACGTGGAGGAGGGAGACACGAGGAGCGAGACACGTGGTGGTGGGAGACACGAAGGAGACACGTGGAGGGAGACA